GCAACTGGGTAGATATGGCCAAACCCTAAAAGAAGTCAATAATAAGGAACTATTAACTTGGAGAGAGGTCTCAGGTAGAAGTCCCAGAGCTTGGCCCTGTGTTTTTTTGCCATTTTAATCACTGATTTAAAAAAAGTCGTGAATAGCCTAGGCCTGCTAACCAAATTCTCAGGTTACCACACTAGAAAGAATTGTTAATATATCAGACAACAGAATAAGGATTCATCCTACTAGGTAAAAAAAAAAATCAACTTTATAAATATAATATGGGAAGTACAGATACTAGACAACAATTTGTAGGTTTTAAGAGAAAACAAACTTAATATAAGTCAACAGTACATGATGACAAAAAAAAAAGGAATGTCATCTTAAGCTCCATTAAGAAAGAGGTTTACAGGGGCAGCTAGGCAGCGCAGTAGACAGAGCACGGGCCCTGAAGTCAGGAGGACCTGAGTTCAAATCCGGCCTCAGACCAAATAGTTGACACTTACTAGCTGTGTGACTCTGGGCAAGTCACTTAACCCAAATGCCTAAAAAAAAGAAAAAAAAAAAAGAAAAAAAGAAAGAGGTTTACAAAGGAAACCAATTATAATAGCTATCAACATATTAAAAAAAATGTTCATGGATCTCAGGTTAAGAACCCTTGGCCTACAGTAATATATGCATGATCCACTTTAGAAAGCAGACTGATAAATGGAAGAGCATTCAGAAGGTGATAACCAGGATAGGGAGAGGCCTGCGGCCCATGCCATATAAGGAATGAGGAAGGAACTGGGGATGTTTATCCTCAAAAAGACAAGATCTGGACATGGAAATGATAGTTGTTCTTAAGGATCTGAATCAATGTCTAAAGGACAAAAGATTAGATTTGTTCTGCTTGGCACCAGAAAAGTTGAACTAAGAACAAAGGGAGAATTTTAGAGAGGCAGATTTAGGCTCAATGTAAGGAAAAAACTTTTTAACAAACAGAGCTACCCCAAAGTTTAATGGACTGCTTCAGAAAGTTGGGGCAGTGGGTCCTGCTCAGTAACAGGTCTTCAAGCAAAGGCTGGACGACCACGTATCTGGGATGCTATAGAGGTGATTTCTATTCATGTACAGATCAGACCAGATGGCCTCTGAGGTTACTTTTATCTCCCATCAGATTCTGTGAACTCTTACAAGAGTTTTTAAAAATTCAATTTTATTTTGTTTTCAGTCCCAAATTCTCACTTTCCCTCCTTCCCCTGCTCTACCCATTGAGAAGGCAAAAAAACCAAAACCCATTAAAAAATATATAGTCATGCAAAATGAATTCCTGCATTAACCCTGTCCCAAAAGAGAAAGAAAAAGAAAGGAGGAAAACAAAGGAGGAGAAGAAAACATGCTTCAGTCTGCACCGAACATATCAGCTCTCCACATGGAGACATGCTTCATCCTGAATACTTTGGAATTGTGACAGATCTGTGATAGTGCACCTATCACAGAGAGATGGCACAGTATTCAGAGTGTCAGGCCAGAAGTCAAGAAGACTCATCTTCCTGAGTTCAAATCTGGCCTCAGACATTCACTAGCTGTATGACTCTGGACAAGTTAATTTACCTTGTTTGCCTCAGTTTCCTCATCTGTAAAATGAGCTGAAGAAGGCAATGGCAAATCACTCCAGTATCTTTGCCAAGAAAATCCCAAATGGAGTCCCAAAGAGTCAGACACAACAACTGAACAACAAAAAGACACATCTTTCACTGCTGTGGATCAGCAGCTTCTCTAATTTAAAGTTTTAGAGTTTCCTTAAGTGCTGACAAATTAATGGTCATATTGAGTTGATAAGAATCAGAAGCAAGACTTTGTACTCCTCAAGCTATCTATTTAGTAAACTCCTGTACCTGAAGATTTACAAAATACACACTGAATGAAAATCAGTTTTCCTATTCAAGATCTCTGAACTCTCATTTTTAGTTCAATTCAGATTTCTAATTGCCTTGCATGCAGTAAGAAATTAATAAAAGTTGTTTCAACTGAATTCTGTTTGGGTTTATCAACAACATTCTTACTCAAGTTAGGTCTCTCCAAATGTTGTGATTTTCTGTTCTTATTTTACTCTTTTTCTTTTTAGGCTATTTAATTTATTTTTATGATCTTAACTTTGCTCAATTCTTTAATTTACTATCCCTACTCATCTTTCTGGTAACTACTTTGATTTCTTATTATAAGTTAAAATTTAACCCAGTGGCCATGCTAATATCATAAGAACTACCTTCCTAACTCTGATTATGCACATTTGAAGCGAGACATTATATTCTTTCTTCTTTTTCTGCATGCTAATGGTTACCCAATCTTAATGCTGTCTTTTTCTTTTTCTCCACAATACCAACTGATAAATATCTTTGATCTATCTAAAACTCAGAGAAGTGTTTTTAAAGAGCCAATCTCAGTTATGAAGATCTGGGCAAGTCACTTAATCTTGGTGCTGCAGGCAACTTTCTAAGAACTAAGTTGCAGAACATGTGCCATTTTGCATGGTGGAGGGAGTTTCCACACTGGAAGTTCTCCCCATCCCATTGGCCATACAATGACTGTAATTTTAATTAGCTTCTTTTCTTATATGTACAATCTATGAATATAGGCCTCATGAAACCTTAACTTGTAAGTTTCTAAGAGAATCAAGACTCCACTGTATTAATATTCTACAGAAGCCTGGCAAACTGTGGATCATCAGCAAATACCAAGAAATAAAAGAACAATGTTAAACAAATTGATGCCCATGAGGTATAGATATAAAACTGAGGTGGATCACATTGTGGTGACAGGATTGCGATTCATGGTACTCTTTTAAGACTCTTGAAATTACCCTCTAAACCCTGAATTGTGACAGAACAATCCTACCTTATAGAAATATTTCATAGAACCAAGAATTTCACAGTTGGGAGGTACTTGATAGATTATCTAATTCAATTTGTACCTGAAAGAAATTTTGTTTACGACATCCCTGACAAGTAGCTGTCCAAGCTGGACCTGAATGGACAATTTTTAAACCATTTCCCGTGTTCAGTGGAACCATATGCTGAGTCTTAAATAACAATCCAGAGGTCTATAGAAATCCATGGAGTGAGTGGCAAAAGAGAACTGTTGAAGAATACTTTATCATCTGTTAGGAGCAAGGACCATGCCTTTTTGCTGCCTTACCAGATCTGCTGCCAACTGGACAAAATGGAGGGCCCTTGATGCCAAAAGAGTAAAGGAGCAAAGCCACAAAACCATTTTTAAATCCAGAAAAGCAACATATCATTAGATAATCCTCCATTTTTATGTTGTAATATTGTCACTGCAGCTCCTTCCATTAAAATTTCCAGACACTTCACCAAAACAAACAAAAAGCCCAAGGAAGAAGTATATACCACTTGAATTTGTCCCTTCACATCAGGTCACTTTTAATGTAATTACTGGGATCACAACGCTACTTCCTGTCATTTCTTAATTTTCTTTACATATCACTTTTGAGGGATATTGTTGAGGTGATTTCTGACCAGGTATGAGTTGGACTAGATGGTCTTTAAGGTCCTTTTCAATTCAACTCATTGCCATTATGATCACCTCTATCAAAATATCCAGATAAGCAGAACACTTTAGCAAAAAAGGAAGGAGAATACATCACTTGAGTTTGTCTTTGAATAGCAAGTCAATTTTGATGTAATTATCTGGGTCAAAATCCTTACTTCTTGTCATTTCTTCATTTCCTTTACATATTGTTTGTTTCAGCTGTTCAATTCTCAGTTTACAGGACATTATTTTCCATCTCTGAAAAAATAACATATGGTAAATATTTGAGAAATTCAAGTTTTATGATGAATAAATGTCATATGACCAAAAATCTCTTTAATTTGGAAATGCTTCTTCTTAAACAAGATTAAATATAACTTTCCCAAAATGAAGTAAAGTACACTCCCCAAAATGGAACAATTCTCAGCTGGTTGGAGTGTTCTGGGAAGTGTTAATATCTCCCAGCTACTCTATCAGATATTCTATTAAATCCAAATAAGCTTTACTACAGCTGAGCTGCCACCCTCTAACTCAAAAAGCTCCACATTCTTATAGACAAGGACAATTGGAGATTCAATAAAAAACAATTTATTGGTTACAAGGAGTTACAGCAAAAAGGTCCAGCAATATAATACCTCCAAGTCTCTCTGTTAAGGACAGAAAGACACTTTCTCTTAAAAATATTTTAAAATAGTTCAAAATAAATAAAAACTTAGGAGGAAAATTTGTGACGAACTATATTCAAGAAGCAATGTTTTGAAGTTTTTGTTTATGTTTTCCTTTTTGCTAAATATTTAAATATATAAGAAAAACATTCAGTGATAAACACAGGTGATTCCCTTGTAGAAAAACTGAGTATTTGGGCTCCAACTTGATTTTAAAAAAGAAAAAAGCCTTGAAATAGGAAATCTCACATTTAAGGAATCATAAAAAATAAACAATAAAATTTTTAAAAATCTTATTAAAACAAAATTTTTGTTAAAAAATTTCCATAACTCACCAACTGATCTGTTACCCACTTTCCTTCCATAATGGCCTTAAGCACACTATAAAGGAGAAAAACAAATATTAAAGTCAACTATAAAACAATATTTCACCAGTAGGAAGTAGATTTTTCTTAAAGAATAACTTTTTTTTGCATATGGCTAATTTTTCCCCCAGTGGAGCCTAGAACATTAGAGATTGATGTAAATAAGACCTTTCTCTCCCAGCTCACTGCCCTCTGAAGATCCTTTGCCATCCCCAGCTCTCATCTCTCTCACTTATCCCCTTCTTCCTCAACTTTCTCTTGTTAAAAGACTATAAGCTTCTATGTAACCTTCTTCACACTAATTCACTGAACAGTTTCTGTATGTAAGGCATTATGTCAAGTTCTCAGGGAGAGATTATAAATAAGCATAAGGGATCACAATTCTTGTCTTCAAGGAGATTGCAATCTAGTTGGGAATAGAAGGCATAAACAAATGAAAAGCTAATCAGTTAACAAGTATTATATAAGTGTTGTAACAATATAAATGACACTTCAATAAATTGGCCAATCTTTAAACTGGCATAAGAGATAAAAACACAGATGTTGTCATCTTCAAAGCAATTACTCTGGAAGGCTACTCCCATATTCTTGAGATGGTATCATTACTCAAAACATTTCTGGAACTCCTTTTTTGGAATGTCCTTGAGAATGCCTTCAGCAAACATAATCTCTGGAATATGTAGAACAGTGGCAAATTGCTGATATCAGAAGATGGATTTATTTTTGGAGCCCAAAGTCATTCTAAGTCATATCTAGTGAAGAAGACAAGTGATAATGTAAAATGGGATCAAAACAAGGAATGGATATAAAATTGGCTCTTCCTTATGAAGAAAATGTCAAGATCATAAATGATCTAAAATTTCCTGAAGACAGTGTTAGTAAAAAGGTGTTTGAAGACTCAGGGATTCTTAATGTTTTTTTGTGTCATGGATCCCTTTGGCAAACTGGTAAAGCCTACGGATCTCTTCTTAGAACAATGCTTTTAAATGCATAAAATAAAATTTTGTTGTTCAGTCATTTCAGTCTTGTCTAACTCTTTGTGAACCCATTTGGGGTTTTTGTGGCAAAGTTACTGGAGTGATTTGCCATTTCCTTCTCTTGCTCATTTTACAGATGAGACAACTGAGAAAATAGGGCTAACTGACTTGCCCAGGGTCACATAGCTAGTAACTGTCTGGAGCTGGATTTGAATTCAAGTCTTCCTGACTCCAGGCCTGGTGACTGATTTACTGCACCACTGAGCGGCCCCATATAATAAATGTAATGGAAGCCATTTATCTTGAAATATGGTTATAAAAATATTATTAAAAACAAGACTAGGACCTCAGGTTAAGAACTATTAGTAGACTAATTTAACTGAAGACAAGGATTCATGTAAGGAATTAGGCTGGAAAGATAGATTGTGATGGCTAATTTCTGATGCAGCCACCACTAGCTGTTGCTTAATTATCCCCAAATTTTTCATTCTGAGACCTGTTGCTACTATTCTTCCTACTAGTACTTTACCATAGATATGATCTCAACATCTCCTAGCTGTCCAATCTTTCTCCAAGTATAAAGTCTTTAGAGAGTCCCATATTTGGACCCCAGTCCCCAACACTGCACCTTTGGGAAAGTGTCGGGAGAACAGGACTCCATATATTTTCCAGGACAATTACTATCACCGTTCAGAAGGCATGTCTTCATATCGTAACATATACAGACAAAAACATGGTATAGGGCCAAATGGAATCTGCAAATAAACAACTTACTCTTTTCGGAATTCATCCTGCTTTCTTTTAAGATGGCTTAACCTCTCCTTCTTGTCTACAAATCTGTGAGAAACAAAAAACAATTGTTCTAGTTTATATATTTTCAAAGTTTATTAACTTAGTGAATTGTTAAGAGCTAAATTTTTTACAATATGATCCACAAAGTTGTACTATATCTCATGTTTATTTTAATAAGGGGTTCAATAATTTCCATTCAAAAAAGATTTCTTAAGTTCATAATTTTAATTGAATTAGTTTCTATGGTAGGCACACCAAAATAAGAAACGTAATCAGATTGAACAAAGGTTTCCATTTTTATAAGTCCATGTCACATAGGTCATCCAAAAATTATTTTGTATAAATAGCTTAATAACCAATAATAATAATAGTTTACATTTATATAGTGTTTTAAGTATAAGTGTTTGCAAAGCACTTGACATTTATTGCCTATGATCCTGATGTACCAGTCTAAAAAGACATAATGCTAAATTGAAGCCATACTTCTAAACTGAGCTCTATTTGGAAAAAAAAAGTCAGAGGCTAAGAACTAATCATTGAATACGATGTATTTAAGCTTTTAATAAAAGCCAGATTTTAGGAGGAAATTTTATGGCACACACTGGACCAACATGGTATTTCCCATGGAGACTATGCCTTAAAAATTTCAAAGTACTGTACAAATAACTGTTCAATCAGTCTAGATAGTGCATCTAAACAGTTATCTAGCAAAAGGAATCAACAAGATTTTATATATTACTATTATCCAAATGTTAGCTTTTGGAATCAGAATGATTTCAAGGCAGAAGATGAGAAGCATCTTGAGTGATCTACCCAAGTTCATTTCAAACTCTATGATTCTATGATTCAACCTGTGGCCAACATAATACAGAACCTCAGTGGTTGAAGTCTACAAGCACACAGCTCCCAGCTCTCCAGGATCCTAAAATACAGTATGTTGAAAATACTAAATATATCAAATAGGGAAAAAAGACATGATATCCCACAGGAAGCAGAATAGTATAATTACTGAGTAATTAAGATTGGATCTAGTTAACACGATTATGGTCATTTTAATAATTATTTGTGTAATTATATGCAAGATAATATGAGGGGACAACTAGCCTCTAAGCCAAAAAGACCCAGGTTCAAGTCCTACCTCTGACATAATAGCCTTCTGACCCTTGTATGTCACTTACTCTCTCTATAGGCAACTCTCAAGACACTAAGTTGTGGGGAAGATGTTGCCTTGCACTAGTAGAGGGAGTTTTTTCACCCAGTAGTTTTCTACACTAATGAATTTACAGGTCCAATCTCTATATAGGTTTGTATAAACCTAACCCTTTGCTAGGGCAGTGGTTAGAGTGCCAAGTCCAGAGTCAGGAAGACTCATCTCCCTGAGCTCAAATCTGGCCTCAGACACTTAGAAGCTGTGGCACTCGGGGAGGTCACTTAAGCCTGTTTGCCTGTCTCCTCATCTGTGAAATGAGCTAGAGAAGGAAATGGCAAACCACGCCAGTATTTTTGCCAAGAAAACTCCAAATGGGGCCACAAAGAGTCAGAAATGACTGAACAACAACAACAAACCCTTCTGCTAACAGGAACTAAGAGAAATAACATTATTTTAAAACAAAAAAAATATTTTTTGCCATTTCCCCATAGCCTAGTACAGGGATATATTAAAACGCTTGATAATATGATGAAAACTTAATTTCATCCATGGAGGTACTTCTTCCACTAATACAGAATACACCCATCTCACCCTTCTCAGTCTGTATAACTCTTGTTCAAGTCTCTCCATGAATCCTCCACAGCGGATGCACCTAAAGTACTTTTTGGGTACCTTTACTATTTTAAGGCAGCTGGGTGGCACAGTGAATACAATGTTGGACTTGGAACTGAGAAGATCTGAGTTCAAATCTAGCCTCAGACACTTATTAGCTGTGTGACACTGGGCAAGTCACTAAACTTTGATTTGCCTCAATTTCTTCATCTGAAAAATGGAATAATAATATTCTAACATTATTAATCATTACCATGCTTTCAATCCATCTTCCACATAGCCACTGCCTAAAGCACAAATCTAACCAAGTCAGTCCCCCTACTCAGAAATATTCAGTGGCTCCCTATTGCCTCTAGGACAAAATACAAACTCTTCAGACCTTGACATTTAAGCCCTCCAAAATCTGGCTCTAACCTACTTTTTAGGAATTACTTCATAAAGTGAGCAAAACCAGGAGAATGTTGTACACAGTAACAGCAACATTGTGTGATGACCAACTTCGATAAACTTGTATCTTCTCAGTGATACAATGAGCTAAGACAATTCCAAAAGACTCATGACAGAAAATGCCCTCCACATCCAGAGTAAGAGCTGTGGAGTCTGAATGCAGATGAAAGCATACTATTTTCTCTCTCTCTCTTTTCTTTTCTCGTGATTTTCCCCTTTTGTTCTGATTCTTCTTTCACAACATGACTAATGTGGAAATGTTTAATATGACTGTGCATGCATAGCCTACATCAGCTTGCATGCCGTCTTGGGGAAAGGGAAGAGGGGGGAAATTTTAGAACTCAAAATCCTATAAAAGTAAATGTTGAAAACTAAAACTAAAAAATTTTTTTAAAATTACTTCACATTATTTCCCATCACATATTCTATATTCCAGCCACACTGGTCTACTGCTATTCCCCAAACTCAACATTCTGTCTCCATCTCTGTGCCTTCACACACAAACTTCTTCCCCTCCACCTCTTAGAAACCTTCACTTCTTTCAAGGCTTAGTTCTGCCATGTTTCCCAACCCTTCTGTATTCCTGCTCTTCTCAAACAATCTTGTGCTCACTTACCTGTGTACAAATATCTCCACCTTGCTCAGGGACTGTTTTTTTGCTTTTGCCTTTGTATCCCCAGGGCCTTGCACAAAGTAAGCACCTAATAAATGTTAGTTGGATCCAACTCCAGATAGACAGTCCCTTTCATGACTGAAAGTTCTTGTGCTGTACCCAACTGTGCCAAGCATTCCTCTAATTGTTTTTCTGTGCTTGCACAACTCAGGTGTCCTCACCATTGAAAATAAATAAACAGGGACCAACCCTCTGGAATAACAAGTGCCTGAATACTTATCCCAGATTAGTCAGCAATGCAATGCTCAACACCCAGGGGGTCATTCCTTAATGCCAGGAGCATTAAGCATGTTGTAAGATTTGGGATTTTTGCTGATTCATCTTGTTATACACTACATAAAATGCCTGTACCTACAGTCACCACTTTGAATTCATCTCAGCCAGGACAATCAGCCCTAAGACTGCTGCTCCTGGCAATTTTCCAGTTGGTTAATCCAGCCCTAGTCTCAATCAATAAGCATTTATTAAGCAGTCTGAGCCAGACACAGGGCTAAATGATGAATATTTATATAGCACTTTTTAAGGTTTGCAAAGCCCTTTACATATTATCTCACTGCTGAAAGATGAAGTATCCTGTTCAGGGAACAGCCAGGATGTCAGTGTCCCTGGATCAAAGAGCACCTGTTGGGGGAGTAAGGTGTAATTAGACTGGAAAGGTAGGAGGAGGCTAGGTTACGAAGGGCTTTGAATGCCAAACAAAGCATTTGGTATTTGCTCCTGGTGGCAACAGGAAGCTGCTGGAGTTTACTGAGTAGGGAGGAGTGATGTAATTGGACCTGCACTTCAGGAAACTCATTTTAGTGGCTGAATGGAAGATGAATTGGAATGGAGAGAAATTTGAGGCAGGCAGATCCACCCACAAACTATTGCAGAGGTGTAAGATGATGAGGGCATGCACTAGAGTGGTGGCAGTGTCAGAGGAGAGAAGGGGGCTTATTCAAGAGATGTTGCAAAGGTGAAATCAACAGGCCTTGGCGATAGCTTGGATATGAGGGGTGAGAGATAGTGAGGAATCCAGGATGATTTCTAGGTTTTAAGCCTGAGGGACTGGAAAGATGGAGTTGCCATCAACAGTTATAGGGAAGGTAGAAGAGTAGAGGAGGATTTACGGGGAGAGATAATGAGTTCTGGTTTGGACATAACAAATTTAAGTTTCTATTGGACATGCTGTTTGAGATCTGCAAAAGGCATCTGTGTGAGACTAGAGGTCAGCAGAGAGACTGGGGCAGGAAAGGCAGATTTGAGAATCATCAGCATAGAGATAGTAAATCCATGGGAGCTAATGAGATCACCAAGTGAAGTAGTATAGAGACAGAAGAGAGCTCAGGACAGAACCCTGAGGGAATCCTGAGGGAACCCTGAGGTAGAGGGCATAATCTGGAGGATCCAGCAAAAGAGAAAGAGAAGCAGTCTGAGAGGTAGGAGAAGAATCAGGAGAGTGGTGTAAGAAAAACCCAGGGAGCATTATCAAGGAGGAGAGAGTGAGCAACAGTGTCAAAGGCTGCACAGAGGTCAAAGACAATGAGGACTGAGAAAAGGCCACTGGATTTAGCAACTAAGAAATCACTGGTAACTTTGGAAAGAGCAGTTTTGGTGGAATAAGGTGACAAGCCAGATTTTAAGGAGTTAAGAAGACACTGAGAGGAGAGAAAGTAAAGGCACCGATTATAGATGGCCTTTTCAAAGAGTTTAGCTACAAAGGACAGAAGAGAAATAGGACAATAGTTAGTAGGGATAGAAGGATCAAGTGAGGGTTTTTTCAGGATAAGGCAGACATGGGTATGTCTGTAGGCAGGAGGAAATGAGCCAGCTGAGAGGGGGAAGTTGAAAATAAGTTAGAGGGGGCAGCTAGGTGGTGCAGTGAACAGAGGTCTGTTCTTGGAGTCAGGAGGACCTGAGTTCAAATCCCGTTCAGACACCTCACACTTAGTAGCTGTATGACCCTGAGCAAGTCACTTAACTCTGATTGCCTCACCAAAAAAAAAAAAAAATTTAAATTTAAAAAAAGTTTTTAAAAAAGAAAAAAAATAAGTTAGAGTGGAGGTAACAGTCTGATGGAGGAGAGAAGATCGAATGGGATCACTTGAACAAGAAGAGTCAGCCTTGCTAAGGAGTAAGGCCACTTCATCATGTGAAACAGGGGTGAAGGAGGAGACAGAGAG